AGCTGTCGGCTTGGCAGGTACGGGGCCCAGTGGCCAGGGCAGCGCACTGTGCAGATGGGTCTGTTCTCTCCCTAGATGGACCAGAAGCCCCTATGCCAACTTTGTGAGGAGATGTTTTAAAACACAGGGAGACCAGCTCCTCTAACAAAGTAATAAAAGCAGGGTGGTTTCTTTCCCCAGGAATGGAGTTCAAGACATCTGTGCCCTAGTGATCCAGAACTTACGCTATGGCTGAATGTGCCAAGCTGCTCTTACTTCAGGCCCACAGGACTTGCAAGCACGTGGGAAGTGGAGGGCACCGTTTGGGGTGGTGGCCCGGGCCCCATGGCTGCCCCTCCTGAGGCCCCACGTGGCCCCTCGCAGCATGACTGCTCCGGTGGGCCTGTCCTCATCAGAGCGGCCACCCCAGCGGCAGCCACACAGAACCCTCACGGGGAAGCACAGGGACCAGAGCTGGGCAGACAGTGGGACACCACGTTCCCAGTGTGAGGAGACGTCTTACTCGCAAGACAGAGGAAGACCAACATGCAGAGTGGGGCAAAGACCGGAGGCAGTTCCCTGCCACCCAGATGCACTCCCGTGTGTCCTGCCAGCCTCATGCTTCCTGGCAGAAGCTCCCTCATGTCGGGTTTCTGTCACCGCAGCGAAGAGCCCGACAAAGACCACAGAGGAGCTCGCATCACGCACGTGGCACAGGTGGGGACCAACCGCTGGGGCTAAGCCTCAGGCACGGAAATCCACCCTCTTCACGGCTCCCGCCGCTGCCAGCGTCCCGCAGGGGGACACATCTTCTAGCACCGTCTCACCGGCTGGGACACACCCACCCTCTGCCCCTGGCTTCCCGGTTGGACCAGCAGCTCTGTTCCTGTCCCGCTTCCCCACAGGTCCGATTCCATTTGTTCCCACTTCTCAACCGCTTTTTTTTTAAGATTTTATTTATTCATTTGACAGAGAAAGAGACAGCGAGAGAGAACACAAGCAGGGGGAGTGGGAGAGGGAGAAGCAGGCTTCCCGCTGAGCAGGGAGCCCAATGTGGGGCTCGATCCCAGGACCCTGGGATCATGACCTGAGCCGAAGGCAGACGCTTAACGACTGAGCCACCCAGGTGCCCCAACTTCTCAAAAGTTCTGGTCCACCAACAGCACCTTCCTGGGTGGAGGGAAGCACCCCTGTTAAGGACTTACAGTTAACCTATCCGTGATCAACACTGAGCAACACAATCCCTCCAAAAGTTAGTGACTTCAAAAAAAGTTTTAAGGCCGTTAACAACAAGGTGATACATTTGCCATCACCCACGCCGCATGCGGATGGCCCTGGAGGCTCCCTTCCCTGCTAACGCACCCGGGCCGTCACTGCCCTTGCCTGCGCTTCTGTTAAATTTCTTACCTCCTTGACAATTAAATCTACACTCATCTCAGCACAACCACCTCTAAGGAAGTCGAAAGCCATCTGGGGCTTATCAACCCTTAATAAAAAACAAATGTTTTGAGGCTCAGTAGGTTAAGTGTCTGCCTTCGGCTCAGGTCGTGATCTCAGGGTCCTGGGATCGAGCCCCGCATCGGGCTCTGTGCTCAGCACGGAGTCTGCTTGTCCCTCTCCCTCTGCTCCTCCCGCCTCTACATATGCTTGCGCATGCTCTAATAAATAAATAAAATCTTTTTAAAAAGGACAAATGTTTCCTCCCAGTTCTCTGCTGCCCACCACCATCTCTGGCGGTGCAAGAAGGTGTGGATGCCTGGTTTCCCCGAGCCCATGCGAAGCGGAGCGTGGGGACATCTGAGTGGTGGTTACTGCGGTGCGGGTAAGACAGGAGGCCTGTCAGGGGTGAGAAACAGCCAGTGTGAACCCCTTGAAAGAACCTGCTGAGCTGCAACAGAAGCCACGCAAGGCTGAACACGAGATTAAATGTGAGCTTTGTATGTCAACAGTCACTGTCTCATCCTGGCAAGATAAGAATTGAATGTTTTTATATATATTTTTCAATTAAAGATTTTATTCATTTATCTGACAGAGTGAGAGGGAACACAAGCAGGGGGAGTGGCAGGGCTCGATCCCAGGACCCTGGGATTATGACCTGAGCCAAAGGCAGACACTTAACGACTGAGCCACCCAGGCACCCCAAATGTTTTTATATTTTAAAGAGCTATTTTGAAGTAAGAATTAAATCCAGTAGCCTATTTTCTTAACCAAGGCTCAGGATACGTGGCCTGTGCGTGGAGGCAGGACGAGGTAGGAGAAATGTCGTGAGATCTGCTGAGAAGCAGCCGGCGCCGCTCGGGCTCTTCCCGCGTGTTACTCCAGCAACACTTCGGACGCACCTGCCATGCTTCCTGCCCTTCTGTGAGCACTCAGCTAGGCCTGCGGTGCCTGGGGGCGGGGGCTCAGTTCGGTGAGCATCAGACTCTTGATTTCGGCTCAGGTCATGATCTCAGGGTTGTGAAATCAAGCCCTGTGCCAGGCTCCGTGCTAGGCGTGGGGACCTGCTTAAGACTCTCTCCCTCCCTTAAAAAAAAAAAAAAAATTCCATTAAAAAACGTCAATTAGGGGGCGCCTGGGTGGCTCAGTCATTAAGCACCTGCCTTCGGCTCAGGTCATGGTCCCAGGGTCCTGGGATCGAGCCCCACTTCGGGCTCCCTGCTCCGCGGGAAGCCTGCTTCTCCCTCTCCCACTCCCCCTGCTTGTGCTCCCTCTCTCGCTGTGTCTCTCTCTCTGTCAAATGAATAAATAAAATCTTAAAAAAAAGAAAGTCAATTAGGATTTTTAGTTCAGAATGGTTAAGTTGATAGTTGGGAACTCTTTTATTTGAAGGGCAGAAATAGCAAAATACAAGCAAAGCTCTGCCTGGCTTCATTAGCAACAATCACTGAAGCATCTGGCTTCTCAGAGGCGGTGGGGGCCCCTCCTCCCTCTCCAGCTCCCTCTTCATCCCCGCAGAGTCGGGGGCTCAGACAGTGGCAGGAGGGGCATGAAGACCAGAGGGAGGAGAGGATCCCATTAACTCAGGAGCCGTGGACAAGGGCGACTCCGGAGTGAAAAGCAGGCACCCGGGAGCCTTACCAGATTCCAAACAGGGTGAATCTGGATCCAGACCCAAGGCTGACAAGTCCCTGGATTATTCGTGCCTTCCTCTTCATCAGGAACACCAAGGCACGGCCTAAAACCTCGCTGGCCCTGTTCGCAGCGGCCTTTAGCCTAAGTCGGAATAAGGAAAACACAGAGCTTTCTTAGGACGCCAGCACACAGCCAGCGTGAAGCTATAGGCAGGCATATAATGCATGCGCGCTGACCGATCAGTGTCCCAGCCACGTAACACCGCGGCAGGAAGTGCTCCGCCCCTTCAAAAAGAGGACACATTTGGGGTGCCTGGGGGGCGTGGTCCGTTGAGCGACGGACTCTTGGTTTCAGCTCAGGTCATGATCTCAGGGTCGTGAGATCAAGCCCCACATCCAGTTCATGCTCAACTGGGAGCCTGCTTGAGATTCTCTCTCTCCCTCTACCCCCAACCCCCATACTGTCTCTCTCTCAAATAAATTAATCTTTAAAAAATAAATAAGAATTTAAAAAGGACACATTTGCAAAGTAACACCCATGGAGAGCTACCTTGTTCAGCGAGCAGGCATCTCTCTCTCTAAAGTGATAACCACACAAACTTGACAGCAGAGCAAGAGCTGTTCTCCTGGGAAGACCAACATTTGTGCTCCCTGGGAAGATTCTGGTCTCAGAGCCCTAAAGGTGGTGACTGTATGAAGGATCCATCCTCTCCCACATTCACCTTGGATGAGTTACCCGACCATGTGAGAGTGCCGCCCTCAGGAGGAGCCTCCCCCACTTCCCTGCTAGGCGCAGACACAGCCCGGGTCGCCCCTTACCGTCCTCCTGCTGCCCGCGCACGTTCCTATGCTAAAACTCAGTTTACTGAATCGTCTAAGACTTGAGTTTCCTCCATGCCTCGGACACACGTTCCCAAGGCCCACGTTGAGACGATGAAAGGAATTTTAACGTGAGGTTTTTAATACAGTTTAAAAAATCCTTAAAACAATCTGCCCTTCAAAACATGAAATTGATCTGGGGTTTTTCTATTATTGTAACAAATTAGGCAAAACTGTATCTCAGAATTGTTGAGGGAAAAGATAATATACTAATTTTCCTATTAAAACCAAAAACTTGGGCGCCTGGGTGGCTTGGTTGGTTAAGCGACTGCCTTCGGCTCAGGTCATGATCCTGGAGTCCTGGGATCGAGTCCCGCATGGGGCTCCCTGCTCAGCGGGGAGTCGGCTTCTCCCTCTGACCCTCCCTCCTCTCATGTGCTCTCCCTCTCTCTCATTCTCTCTAATAAATAAATAAAATCTTTAAAAAATAAATAAATAAAACCAAAAACTTGGTTGTAGAAGAGTTAACAGGGAAATCAAACTAGAAATCTCAGTGAACAAACACCAATGCAAGTAAAATATAAATTCATCATATACATGTACGAACAACCATGACCATGATGAACAAGACCTGCAAGCCAAGAGTATAAAATTAAGGCAGCTACTTTATTTTGAACAAGAAAGTGGCATGAGCAGCTCCGAGTATCCCCCCACTAACAGGAGAGACTTCGCCTCCGACAGCACTCCCCACCCAGTTCTGGGAGAAAAGTGTCTTCCGGCCGGCCGGTCCCCTTGTCTCCCGTGACACCTTCTTACAAGGCACGCACCGCATGGGCACGCATCTGCTTACAGCCGAAGAACGGGGTCGGGATGGAGCAGCTCCGCACTTACACACTTGGGGAGAGGACTCTCATTCGGGCTGATCTCCAATTAGGTAAAATGAACGTGGTTTGTCCACAGTCCCAGAGTTGCTTCCACGTAAAAATCACTTTTGTAATAAAGCTCCTTTCATCAAACACACCGACCAAATCTCCTTGCCAAGAAAGCTCAGGTAGCCCCACGCCTACGAAGTAAGAGAAGGAGAAAGGACAGGCTCTGCTGCGATTCAGGACATTCCCAAGGGCGAAGCTCGAGCCGGGGACCCCCAGCGCCGCTAGGCGGTCTGCGCCAAAAACGCCACGTACCGCCCCCGAGCCTCGAAATGGTCAGCAGGCCGGGTGTACGCCGTCCACACGGGATCTCCCACAAACAGCCGCATGGCCTTCACGTAGTTCTAGAAAACACACACACGGGGATGTTCAGCCCGCCTCCCAGGTAAGGTCGCTGGCAGCGTTTGTGGTCCCGGCTGCACCGCTCAGCGACGTCTTCCCCGCAGACAGCTGGTGTCAGCGGCTGGGCCAGAAGTCCTCACGCGCAGGCAGCAGAGCCTCTGCCGGGGGCTCGGTGAACCCCTCCCCCCGTAAGCTGCCGTCTGCGCAGACCCGCCCGCCGCCCGCGCCCGGCTCCCCGGCTGTGGCCTTCGTACCGCTTCCCCCACGCTCGGCGGGGCCCTCGGGCTGCTGAAGCCCGGGGAGGCCGGCGTGGCCTCGCCCCTCGGAAGTAAAACCGTGGGCCGCCTGGCTGGCTCCGGCGGTTGAGCGTCTGCCTTCGGCTCGGGTCACGATCCCGGGCTCCTGGGATCGAGCCCCGCATCAGGCTCCCTGCTCGGCGGGAAGCCTGCCTCTCCCTCTCCCGCTCCCCCTGCTTGTGTTCCCTCTCTCGCGGTTTCTCTTTGTCAAATAAATAAAATCTTACAAATAAATAAATAAAAATGTGCAGAGCTTTCAACCCCGTTTTCTCTTCTAGGAGTCCGTCCTAGGAGGCACTCCCACGTGACAAGTGACAAAGGCACGCGCTTCGGGACCCCGGCAGCAGCAGCGGGGAGAGCCTGGACACCCGCGCACGCCCGACATCCGGACGCGCCCCCGCGCAGCAGCGGCGGGTGCGCGGCTCGGGGGCCGCCCGGAGGGGCTCCGGCTGGGCTCTCCGCGCGCCGACGCCCGCGCACGGGCCACTTCGAACTGAAACACGCATCGTACCTTCTCGTCCAGCGTGAAGCGGTGATAGATCCCCGCAGGAAGCGTGATCAGGTCCCCTTTCTCCATGGAGATGCGGATCCACTTGTCCTCCCTGTCTCGCACGTCAAAGTACCCGCTGCCGTCCAGGACGTAGCGGACCTCATCGTCCAGGTGCAGGTGCTCCTCATAGAACATCCGCATCTGGGGACGGCGGACACGGAGAGGCAGACCGAGCGTGCACACGCGCACGCGTCCGAGCCCCACCCGCGCGCCCCAAAGCGACGGGCGGTGCAGCGCTCTCTGCAGCGGGAAAGGTGACAAGGACCAGGAAGCGGGAGCTCGAGCAAGCTAAGCGCGTCATCAGACCAGCAGTGACACAGCACTTCCGTGTGCCGGCGACATCGCCGTTCCCCACACGGAACAACTCAGGGGCACTGGTCCCCCCCCGCGACCCTCGGGGGAACGCGCACGGACAGGCGGGGCGCTCGCCCAACCTCGCACGGCTCAGGTGCGCGGTCGAGACTCCCACGCACATCCGGACTCCTGCTCCCATCCGCCGCGCACGGCAGTCTCACGTGCCTCACGCGCGCGCGCGCGGCCGTCACAGGCCTCGCACGCGCCTCACACGTGTGCGCGGTCGTCACATTCCTCACACGCACACGGTGGTCACGCGCCTTACGTGCATACGCAGTCATCCCGCGCCACGCACACCTGGTCATCATGCGCCACACGCGCGTGCTGTTGTCACACGCCTTACAAGCACACGCGCGCAGTCATCACGCACCTTACACGCGCGCAGTCGTCACGTGCCTCACACGCATGCGCGGTCATCATGCACCTTAGGCACGCACACGGTTGTCACACGCCTTACGTGCGCATGCAGCCGTCATGTGCCACAAACGCTTGCGCGGTTGTCACGTGCCTCACACATACACATAGTCGTCATACAGATCACAGCAGGTCGGAAGCCACGTGTACATGTGAGGAAAGCAGTCACCATTTCCATAAACACTTTCCATTTGTTCAAATCTCTTTGTCTTTCAAAAAGTCCTTATCCCCCGAAAATTGATAATAAAATTATTCAAATATGGAGAATAGTTGAAAGAATTTTACAGTAACCACCCCTGTACCCTTACCAAGATGACATCATCGAACTGTCTCTACTTGCACTGTTAGTATCTCCCCAGCTCTCTGTCCCCCATGCAGGTGTGCTTGAAGCTTTCCTTATTTAATGTTTACACATTTCTGGAAAATCATTAAATACTTGGAAAATCGCCACTTACAATAAGAGCAGCACATTAACAACCATCTTGAATGCTGGCAGGCTGTGGTGACGCAGGTGTCATGGCCCCAAGGAGGGGAACGATCCAGCCAACTACGTTTGCATTACTCATGCACCCAGCAATCCCCTTCCCGGAACTGACCCTGAAGATTCGCCTCCGACAACATAAATAAAAATTTGCACAAGGTTACTCTCTGCTGTAGTGTAAAACACTGGAAAGAACTCAGATGCCCAAACACCAGAGAGGGGCAGAATATTGAGGTCTACGAGCACCGTCATAACAAGACGCTGAATACAACCACTGTCAACGGGCAGACGGTGGGAACCGTGCAGTAAAGATGGGGAAAGGGGATGGCCCTTCTGGCAAAGCTGAGATTTTAGAACTTTGTTGTGTTTTACGTAATCATAAATAGGATAAGAGAAGCATGGGAAGGAAAACTTAAACCATACCGACCTGAGTAACTTGTGACCGTATCACTTCACTCCGTCCTCAGTCTGAGAGAAAGACGTGCAAAGTGCCCTCACACCCCACTCAGCAGGGCTGCCCTCTGCGATGGACGGGTGTAGCAGCCAGGCTGAAACTACTGCGTGTGTGCTGAGGGAAATGAGTACGTATGTGGACGCGACAGGGGTCCTCACGGTGGGACAAGAGAGGGGCAAGCACTGAATGAGGGAGGGTGAGAAAAAGTCCTGTGGAGGTGATTGGAATGAGAGGCATCAGCTCAAACCAACGATGTCTCTCGCTCTCACAGACACAGAATTCACTGCCCCATCTGCTTAAAGGACCTGGGGCAGTGACCCCTGAGTAGCAACGAGGACTCCCATCTGGGTTTCCAAGTACCAGTGACAGGTACCAGGAAGAGGGGCTGATTCCAGGGCGAGGTCAGGGGAACTGGAGGTGCCTGGCACAGGTGGATTCAGCAAGTAAAGAGGTGCTCAGGAAAATGATGGGGATCTGCCAAAAGGGCAGGAACCAGTTAGAAAGTCTCCTACTTGCTAAGTCTGGGGCAATCCGAACATCAAAATTACTCACTGGCCTGTAATCCATGCATGCCATGATTCAAGTAAGACTCTATGAGCCCACACTGAAGTAAACAGAAGGAACGGGCAGCTTTTCCTTACAGACGGAGGCTAATTCAATACTAGATGATAGGTCACCATTTCTACCATCCTGATAGTGGTGACTGATTCAGGCAGGAACCATCAAGACTTACTGCAAACACCGAGTGAAAGTTTGAGAAGAAACAGGGTGTTTACAGACCCAAAGTAACTCTTCACAAATTTCTTATTAGTTATGAGGGGGAAATGGTAACTTCACAATGAAGAACCCAATGAACACGAACTTAACCAAGTTTCCTATCAGCCAGGAAGGGTCCTCTGACACCACACGCCTCCCAACGGGGTGCACCGAGCTGACACAACACCTTCTGTGTAGGATTCCTGCCAAAAATGCATCACTTGAATTCAATCATGAGGACACCTAACAAACATAACATATTAGACAGTAAAGGTTTGTTTCAGAGAAACAAGAGAGATAAGCCTGTATCAGCAAGGGAGTTTTCTTCCAGGAGAAAAGCTATTCTGGAGGACTAGGATGATGGAGAGAATATAATTACTAACATTACCAGCATATGAGCCCCTTCGATGTAATAAGACAAAGCACTGCTGGGGCGCCTAGGTGGCTCAGTCAGTTGAACGTCCAACTCTTGATTGCGGCTCAGGTCATGATCCTGGGTTGTGAGATTGAGCCCCGCATAGGGTTCTGCAGTTACTGTGGAGCCTGCTTAAGATTCTCTCTCTCCCTCTCCCTCTGCCTCTCCCCATTCTCTCTCTTTCTCTTATGCGTGTGCGCCTGTGTGCATTAAAAAAAATAAAGAATGAAAATTAAAAAAAAAAGACAAAAGCACTGCTAAGGAGATGGGTAATCTAAAATTCAGGGCAAAGCACACCATTTAAATCTGAGAGAATTCATGACCCGTTAGGGCATTTGGTGAGAAATGACTTCATCCTGTAAGGTACTGAAACACTCATGCTCTGACCGGCAAGAATAATTTGACAGCAATGACACCATGCATGTATGTTTGCAGTGTCCGTGTTCTCGTGCTGCTTTTGTTCTTAGTTCAATGTGTTGGTACACCTGCGTATTTCTTTTCTCCGAAACACACACAGAAGACATTCAAGCTGATGGAAGAACAGTCTGGGTGACTTTCCCTAGATCCATCAGAAGACTGAGGTCACAGGATAAAATGCTACTCTTAGCTTGGAGAGGTGGACACAGAGCCTCCTGGAGCAGGTAAACTGATACAACATACAAGTGGTCATCCCGGCAAACTGCAGCAGGCTGAGTGTGCACCATCTTGAAAGTGAAAAACTCCTGGGAGCCCAGTATTAAGGGAGCCCCACAGTTCTGTGGCTTTTGTATCTAGAAACACCACCAGGTTCTCATGATGAAGATCCCAGAAATAGCCTTTCACGTTACAGGCAATGGGAGGGGAAAAGTAGCCATTTTTAAATACTCAGAGAACATCCTGCATACCAAAGGCCAGTACACCCAGGGAAACAACTATACCAGAGCCTTATCTGACTTGCAAGAAGGCCACCTCCAGCCCCCTCCAACCTCAAGGGAGAATGAAAAGGCCACAACAGAAGAACTAAGCCCACTAAAAACTAGACTGAATCATGAAATCACAAAGCACTTTTCCTCCCCAACAGCTTACCGCACAACAGGGCTTCAGAAGAATAGTGACTTAAAGCTTTGGAAGAACCATGAGACACAGAATCTATATGAGGAAGGGTGCTTGGAGAAACAAAGACCCCAGGGGAGAAGAAAAACAAGGAAACTAGAAGAAACCAAACCCCTGGCACCAGCAACAGCAAACAGGACTCCCACCCAGGTAACACAAATCCTCACACTAAAGGCCGACTTGCCTTGGTTCCTCTTAACAGACACTACACTCTGGCTTTAGCCAAAAATAACAGGGCATGCTAAAAGTTAAGAAAAAATCCGTCTCCAGAGACAAAGCAAGCATGAGAACCAGACAGGGATGTGACACACATTTCGGAAACTGAAGCCCAAGGTTACATAGCTAGTAAGTACTGGAGCCAGAATTTAAAGATTTTATTTATTTATTTGACAGAGAGAAAGAGACCACAAGCAGGGGGAGCAGCAGGAAGAGGGAGAGGGAGAAGCAGGCTCCCCACTGAGCAGGGAGCCCAATGCGGGGCTCAATCCCAGGACCCTGGGATCATGACCTGAGCTGAAGGCAGACGATTAAGCGATTGAGCTACCTAGGTGCCCCAAGAATCCCACTTTAAAATAAAGACGCAAATAGGTTAAAAGCAAACTTGGAGAAAGACACACCATGTTAACACTAATCAAAAGACAGCTCAGGGAGCTATATTAATTTCAGACAACACATACTTCAGAACAAGGAAAATCATCAGGGATAAAAATGGATACCATGTAATGACAAAACAATCAAATCTCTAAGAGGACATGACAATCCTGAACATATATGCGCCTAACAACAAACATCAAAACACACAAGGCAAAACTAACAGAATGAGAAGAACACATGAATCCACTATTTTAGTTGGAGATTTCAACACCACCCATCAATAAACAACAAGTTCAGCTTGCACAAAATCAAAAAGGAACAGCTGTTGAATAGCACCACCAATTCATAGAATGAGTCAACCAACAATAGCAGAATACACATTCTTCTCAGGCTCACATGGTGCATTCACGAAGATAAACTATGTTGTGGCCCATTAAAACTACCTCAATATATTTACAAGGACTCAAGTCTTACAAAATATATTCTCTGATTACAGTGGAATTAAATTGGAAGGCCATAAAAGAAAAGTCTCTGGAAAAGTCCCCATATAATTAGAAACTAACACATATCAAAAAACCCACATGGGTCAAAGAAGAAATCAAAAAAATTAATTTGGAGGTATTTTGAACTGAATGAAAATGAAAATCATTCAAAACTTGTGTGATGCCACTAAAGCAGTACTTAGGGGAAATCTACAGCATTAATACCTATGTTAAAAAAGAAGGCTGCAAGTCCATGACCTCAGCAACCATGTTAAGAAATTAGAAAAAGGATGGCTCAGTCAGCTGAATGTCCAACTCTTGATTTCAGCTCAGGTTGTGATCTCAGGGTCGTGAGATGGAGCCCCATGTCTGGCTTCCTGCTCAGTAGGGAGTCTACTTGGGATTCTCTCTTCCTTGCCCTCTGCCCTTCCTCCCCCCACTTGCATGCTCTCTCAAAGAAATAATTAAATCTTAAAAAAAAAAAAGAAAAAACAAAGAAGCTTGTGTTTAATAAGAGTGAATATAACGATTCCCCCCTTCAAAGAATTTAGAGTTACCTTACCTTTTCTTCATAATTTGGTAGTTTATCCTTGCATATGGTTATTATGTCCATCCAGGAATAGTTTCTCTCTTTTCGGATCTTTTCTAATTCTGGATCATTCTCATATTTGTCAGCATCCAACTATTAGAGTTTAAACAACAACAAAAAGGACGTCACAGGAACGCAAGGAAACAAAGAAATGTTCTCTTTCTGGATCTCCAACATGATTACACTCCAAATTTATCATCCAGTCCTCTGTCAATTGCAAACTAACCTTCCTTCCCCTCTTTTCCCTATTTCTCTGGAGGGTTTCCCAATTCTCCATTATAGCTAAGGAGAGTGCAGTTGTACTTAATTCTTGCCTCCCTTCTCCCAGCAGTTCTTCCTGGGGGATTCTACATCCCCATTCTAGTCCCACTGCTAGAAGCCCAGGTGAAACATCCATGGCCAAGCCTGTCCAAGGTCACCAACCCCACCTCCTCCTCAGTCCTGTTCCTCCAGCACCAATCCTCTGCAGGTCTAACTGATCCCTCTATGGCATCTCTTTGGTCAGCTGTTTCCCTTGGTTGAAATGACTGATGCTCTGGAAGCCTACAAATAAAACCCAAGTTCATTACACTGGTATGAGAGGCCTTCCATCATGTGGCCCCAGTTACCTTTTCTACTCCTCTGTCCCTATCACGTTTTTTTTTTTTTAAATATACATTCTAAACCAAAGAGGATTATTTGCTACTCTCCAAAAGATGCCTCACATCCCCACATCTTTGCTGACAGCTTCCTACACCTAGAAATCTCCTTCGTTATTTTCATTTATCACAACCCTATCTATTCTTCAAGGTCCCATTCTAACACGTTTGTCATGAAGCACACCCCTAGGATCCCAGCCAGAGTTATTTGCACTCCTACTTCAAACTATTGGCAATGAATTTAGCATATCTTGCATTATGTTGCGATAAAATGCACATTTTATCACAACTACTGAACAGCAAACTCCAGAGTATCTTAAAATACTGATCATCAACACATTAAGTTCTACAAAGATGACTCCCAAAATTATCAAATCCACCTCATGATATGCACAGTACTGCCCCACACTAAAACAATCTAACTTCAAATTATGTGTATGAGACAGAGCTTTTTATCACTCTGCTGTGTCACTGATACCAGATATGAAAAAATGCTCCATTTGTTCCCACTGACCAAGAAGTTATTACGAAGGAAGTATATAAAAATACACAGGACACAAAAACCACACAATAAACATTATTTACTTATTTAAGTATACTCCATGCCCAACATGGGGCTTGAACTCATGATCCTGAGACCAAGAGTTGGATGCTCTACCGACTGGGCCAGCCGGGCACCCCTAAACATATTTTAATTTTGATAGCCCTTTGACTTATCCAGAGCAGAACTAGAAGGTAGGAGAAACTGGGTCTGACCCCATGGAATAACTAAAAGATGCCTTTTAAAATGTGGTATTTTATCCTTCGGATACATTCACAAGTTGACCAGTATCTCATTCTTGCTCTTAAACTGTAAAAAGCAGAATGAAACCCCCAAAATGCAGTAACTTGACACTTCTAATAGTTTATATTGCAGATAAATTAGTTTTATGATAAAACAAAATTTATTTCCCTGTCATAACAGACATTATATACCATTTGATTCCCTCAAAGATGGTACTTTCCACTAGGTTAGGTGTTAAATCTTGGGCTAGGAAAAGATAAATAATCTCTAAAAATTAACACAGGCCCAAGATCTAAGTGTTCAGTAGAGAAGTCCTCTCTAGCCCTGGCTTCATTTCTGCACACTGTGAACGAAAAGGAACCCTGTTTACAACGGAACCAGGGGACCAGCAGGGGTAGCCCTGCACTGTGGGTCAAGGGCTGACCCAACAGGGAAAGCCCCACCTGGCAGGTGGATGCCACTTTACCACAGCAGGAACAAGGAAGGGTTCCTCTGCCCAGCAACAGCCCAGCTAAGGAGAAGCGACTAGTCCAGTGGACTTGTTGTAACAGCCCACCCAATTCCACCCCCCATTTTTTAATGAAAGATTGTTCATTTATTAGGGGGACTTGCCTATGGTTTTTGCTGTGGTTTGCTTATACTGGATTGCAATTCTCTACTATTCCTAAATAAACCCATTTTTGCTGATGAAATAACTGGCAGCTTTCTTTTTTTAAAAGACTTTATTTGAAAGAGAGAGACAGAGAGGGCACAAGCAGGGGCAGCAGGAGAGAGAGAAGCGGAGCCCCCACTGAGCAGGGAGCCCACTGTGGGGCTCGATTCCAGGACCCTGGGATCATGACATGAGCGGAAGGCAGACGCTTCACCACTGAGCCACCCAGGCACCGGTGGCAGTTTTATCTAGAAAGTTAACACTAGGGGCGCCCGGCTGGTTCAGTCGGTAGACCCTGCGGTGAGTTCAATCCGCACGTTGGCTGTAGAGACTACTTAAAAATAAGGCAGGGGGAGGCAAGATGGCGGAGGCGTAGGAGACCTGGGTTTCGTCTGGTCTCAGGAATTCAGCTGGATAGGGATCAAACCATTCTGAACACCTACGAACTCAACAGGAGATTGAAGAGGAGAGTAGCAACAACTCTCTGAACAGAGAAGCGACCACTTTCTGGAAGGTAGGACGTGCGGAGAAGTGAATCCGAGGCCATATTCGGGAGGATAGACGGCGGGGGAGGGGGCCTCCGTCGGCCGCTTCTGGCAAGTGCTAGAGCCGCAGAGCACAAAATCGGAACTTTTAGAAGTCGGCTCAGCTGAGGGACGTCGCTCCAGTGGCTAAGCGGGAGGTGGAACCCTGCGGGACAGTGTGGTCTCAGGACCCTCGGGGTCACAGAAAGACCGGGGGTGCCTGAGTGCAGCAGAGCTCCCAGGTATCGGAGCGGGGAAGCCGGCTGCAGAGACGGAGCCGAGGCGCGGGCTCTCAGCTCGGGGTGGCCATAAACTGTGATCCGCGGCCCAGTCGGGCCACGGCTCCTCCAGCAGGGACCCAACAAGCGGCAGAGCCGGGGAGACTCCCCTTCCTCCCCGGGAGGAGCGGCGCGGGAGCGCACCGCAGGGATCTGCTGGGTTTGGAGACTCCACACGGGGTCGGGCACCAGAGACAGAAACGCTCGGTTACAGGCCGGGTGAGCACGGAGTGCGGCCGGAGACCGGGGACACGGGAGTGACTGCTTTTCTCTGGGGGTGCACTGAGGAGCGGGGCCCCGAGTTCTTGGCTCCTCCAGGACAGAGAGTGGGAGGCCGTCATTTTCACCCTGGTCCTCCAAAGCTGTACCGAGAGCTTGCAGGGAACAAAAGCTCCAGAGAGCAAACCCGAGCAGACTGCTTAGCCCGGACCGACAAGGGCGGGGCAATTCCGCCTCCGGCGAAGACATTTGGGAACCACGGCAACAGGCCCCGCCCCCAGAAGATCAGCATGAACAGCCAACCAAGACCAAGTTCACCGATCAAGGAGAACGGGAGAACTCCAGCGCTAGGGGAATACTGCACATAGAATTCATGGCTTTTTTACCATGATTCATTAGTCTTTCAAAGTTAATTTTTTTTAACGGTTTTTCTTTGAATTTTTCTTTTTCCCTTTTTCAACCAGTATCTTATCAATCCCTTTTTTAAAAATACATTTTTGTTTTTCATTTTTAGAGTCATATTCTATCCCTTCATAGTAGTTACCCTTATTTTTGGCATATATATATAAGTTATTCTCTCTTTAAAATTTTGAGATACAGTTTCTTCAAACAGATCAAAATATACGCTAAATCACTACTGTATGGCTTTGTTCTAGTCTCCTGCCTGATCACATTCTCTTTTTTTTTCCTTCTTTTTTTTAAATATTTTTTTTCAAACAACTTCTTATCAATTCCTTTTATAAAATCTTTTATAATTTTCATCTTTACAGTCATATTCCATCCCTTCATTGTATCAACCCTTATTTTGTACATATATAAATCTTTTTTCTTTAAAATTTTAGGAGGCACTTTCTTCTAACAAAACAAAATACACCCAAATTTTAGTGTGTGGCACTGATCTATGCACTAGCCTGATCATATTTGATCAGATTCTGGGTTTTTTTTTGTTTTGTTCTGTTTTTGTTTGTTTTTATCTTTTTCTTTTTTTTTTCCTCTTTCTTTTTTCTTTCTTTGCCTTTCTTTTCCCCTGGTTTTGGGTCTTTTCTGATTTGTTTAGAGTATATTTTCTGGGGACGTTGTTAACCTGTTAGCATTTTGTTCTCTCATTCATCTGTTCTTCTCTGGACAAAATGACAAGACGGAAAAAATCACCTAAACCAAAAGAAAAGAGGTAGTACCGTCTGCCAGGGACCTACTCCATACAGACATTAGGACGATGTCAGACCTAGAGTTCAGAATCATGATTTTAAAGATACTAGCAGGGCTTGAAAAAAGCATGGAAGTTATTAGAGAAACCCTTCCTGGAGAAATAAAAGAACTAAAATCTAACCAAGTCGAAATCAAAAAGGCTATTAATGAGGTGCAATCAAAAATGGGGGCACTAA